AAACCTCTGGCAACCCCTGATTTGATTTCTATCCTATAGTTTTGCCTTTTACTGAATGTCTGCTGTAATGTTTTCCCATTAACATAAGATAGTAATATAACTTAATTAAATACTGTGGCCATTAGAAATAGCTAAGTTATGGCTGGACATTTTAAAAAATGTTATTATTCCTTCTTTTGCAGATGATTACTATGCTTAGAAGGATTAAATAATGATTTTCGCTCATCTTTTACCTATCTTTATGGTCCAAAAGTTCAAAAGGAAAATTTTCTATCATTTCCTTAAAACAGACTGCTCAAATTCATTTGAAACAATCTGTACCATTTGGAACTGAGAGTTGATTGTAGTAATTTGATCTTTCATTCTCAGTATTTCTTACCTTTATATCTTCCAGCAAAGGTTAGGAATCTGAGCTATTCTGTTACTGTCTTAATGTCCTATGTGACTGAAGTTCGGATGTTTAGCTGATCTTTAAAAAATGAAATATATATCATCTTGAAGTAACCAAATTAATCTTTTTTATTGATCGGTAACAAAATAACCCAGGAATTTTGACTGAGGACTAACAGAGTGAGTTACAAATATAGTCAAAATCAGGAATATAGTTGAGTTAAAACAAAATAAAATAAAACCTGAACATTACTCCTTCCTGACACAAGAAATATTCATGGTGAATTTTATTTTCTTATTGTGTAAATGTTCTAATTGGCTCTTTTCTTCCTGGATTTCTTGAGCTACATGGTAGAAAAGGTACCAAGAGGGCATACAGAAGCGGTGTGGGTTCCTTGATTGATCTGGAATGTTGGAAAAGCAGTCTTTTTTTTTTTTAACAGTTTATTGAGATATAGCACACATGCCATTAAGTTTGCCCTTAAAAGTGTCACAAGTCAATGGTTTTTCGCATATTCAGAGTTGTGCAGCCGTCACCACAATCAATTTCACAAGATTTTCATCACCCCAAAAAGAAACTCTGTCCCCATGATGTCACTTCCCTTCCCCCTAGTCCTCCCATCCCTAAGCAACTGCGGCTGTACTTGTGTCTCTATAGATTTGCGTGTTCTGGACATTTCATATAAATGCAGTCATACAATGTGTGGTGTTTTTTTACTGGCTTCTTTTACTTAGTACATTTCCTTTTATTGCCGATTAATATTCCATTGTATGAATATTTCACAGTTATTAATAAGTTTTGATATATTTTACATTTTTCAGTTGATGGACATTCCGATTGTATAAACTCTTTGGCTTTTATGAATAATGCTGCTGTGAACACTCATGTACAAGTCTCTGTGTGGACATAGGTTTTCATTCCCTGGGAGGGGAATTGCTGGGTCATAATGATAACTGTGTTTAACCTTTAGAGGAACTGCCAGACTGTTTACTGTTGAGTTTTGAGAGTGCCTTATATACTTGAGTTACTAACCCCTTGTTGGTTATGCGATTTGTAAATCTTCTCCCAGTGTGTAGCTTTTCTTTTCATCCTCTTAATAGGGTCTTTTGTAGAACAGAAGTTTTTCATTTTAATGAAGTCCACTTTACCAATTTTTTCCTTTTATGGATTGTGCTTTTGGTGTCAAGTCTAGCCTTAGACCTCAGAGATTTTCTTCTTTTTTTTTTTGTACAAGTTTTATACTTCTGTGTTTTACATTTAAGTCCATCATTCATTCTGAGTCCATTTTTATATGAGGTGTGAGCCTTAAGTCAGGGTTCGTTTTTTTGTCTACAGATGTCCAGTTGTAGCAGGTCATTTGTTGAAAAGACTGTCTTTCCACCGTTGAATCGCTTCTGCATCCGTCAAATATCAGTTGGGCATATTTGTGTGCATCTTTTCATGGGTTCTCTATTAACCTAAAGCCACAAAATTTTTAAAACTTTACATGATAAATTTTGAAATGGGGCAGACTGATTTTTCCTACTTTCTTTTTTTGCTCCAAAATTCTTTTCACTATTCTAATTCCTTTGTCTTTACATATAATTTTAGAATAATTTTGTCTATAGCTACAAACATGGTGCTGGAATTTTGATAGGAATTATGTTAAACCTATATATCAACTTATGGAGAATTAACATCTTTACTATGTTGAATGTTCTAACCCATGAACATGATATGTCACTCTGTTTCATTTATTTAGATCTTCTTTGATTTCTTTCATCAGTGTTTTGTAGATTTCAGCATACAAGTCCTGTATATGTTTAGAATTACATCTAAGTATTTCAGTTTTTTGAACCATTGTTATTAGTATTTATTAAATTTAGGTGCCGACATGTTCATTGCTAGCACATAGAAATATGATTGATTTTTTTCAAAAAATGATTTTCCTGTATTCCGTAGCCTTGCTATACTCACGTATTAGCTCAGTTTTTTTTGTTTGTAGATTCCTTTGGATTTCCCATGTAGATTTGAATAGGGACAGTTTACCTCATCCTTTCCAAACAGTATGTGTTTCCTTTTCTTGCTTTATTACACTGGCTAGAACCTCCAACACTACGTTAAATAAGAATGGCCAGTGTGGACATCTTTGCTTCAATCCTGATCATAGGAGGAAAGCGTGCAGTCTTTCCCCAGGAAGCATAATGTTAACTATGAGTATAGGTTTTTAGTAGATGCTCTTCTTTATTAAGTTGAGGAAGTTCCCTTTTATTGTTATTTTTCTGAGAGTTTTTTTTATCATAATGAAAATTTTGATATTTTTGATATTTGAATTTTGTCAAATGATTGATATGATCATAGGATTTTTCTCTCATTTAGCTTGTTAATATTTTAGATTATATTGGTTGATTTTTTAATATAGAACCAGACTTGCCTCCTTGGAATAAACCTCACTTGGTTATGGTGTAGGATTCTTTTTATATATTACTGAATTCTGTTTGCTTATATTTTGTTAAAGATTTTTGAGACTATACTTATTAGAGATATTGATTTGTAGTTTTCTTTTATTATTTGTATTTTCTTTTTTTCTACCAAGAGATAAAGGATTTTGTACCCCTTACCTTGTCTTGAAAAGCATCGATCAAAGAATCAGTTTCAGCATAGCTCCTTTGTCTTTCAACCTTGACTACTTTGAGACATACATGTAAGCTCCCTAAGCTTTATCCCAAAACACTGAGTGCTCTCAGTTGAACAGTTACCTGGTATACTCCAAGAGCTCCATGGACTTCACCGTAGTTATACTCAGTATCATAATCCGTACCCATAATTTCTCATGGTTGTGTTGTGTTCTGTCATACTTTCTACCCTGGAACTCCGACCCGGAAAGACTCAAGATTCTGTGGTAAAAGGATATTGGGGTTTGAAATCAAAAGACCTGCATGTCAATACTGGTTCCTGAATTTAGTAGCTGTGTTATGTTAAGCAATTACTTAACCTCTCTGATTAAATGAGATCAATTTAAATGGATTTGTAAACTTGTTACTACATAAATACCAGCTTTATTTTCATGGAACCTTTTAATTTTACAGGAAAGGAAAATGCTACTAAACTGTTCTTTAATATCTTTTTCTGTTTCTCTGATCATTTTCAGAATTACCAAGAGTTAAGCAAGGAATGAGACTGAGAGATTTCAGAGATTTATATTTTGATTTAATAATATAAAATAATGATATTTGATTTTATATTTAAGCCATAAACATTTAGGAATGTGGCATTTACTTTCTCCTCTTTGTGATTATTTTATTGATAGACATTTTTAATTAAGTAATTAACTTAATACTAATTTTTTTAGCAATCCCCTCCTTTATTTTAATATTTTATCTGAAAACCCAGCAACAAAATGCTACTGCAAAGGGATGACTTTGTCATTGTACATTCATCAGGGACCATTGATATAGCACTGCTTACGTTTTATGTTGGAGCAATTCTGACCAGAGTGATGGTACTAATGTAGTGTGATCTCTTCCCCAAATTTAAATTGTTAGGCCTATGGGTCTAGTTTTGGATCATTAATGGTGTTTAATGACTAAGATTCTTCTTCTCTTGGTGCCTTTCATAAACCGGAGGCAGCAAGGTTGAATTTCACATAGAAATGTTGAAGCTAATATACATTGGAAGAAAAGAAGTCCTGGAATATTTGTAGCTTTTGGTTTTTTAAATATTTTAATGGATGCTATGTATGCAGGTATTGAAGTACTTATTAGGATTTGATTAGAAGATTCAATTCCAAAAGTAATTTCCAATGGTGAGATTTTTATGTACCATGGTTGAGCAATACCTGTTGATAACCATATGACAAATATTGAGACACCCTACTCTTAATTGTCTAATTAGAAATAATGTGGTAGATGTAAACTGACAACAAAATATATCATCCAGGATGGGAAGATAGGTCAGGAAAAGACACTTGTATGAACTGTCAAGTTCTCGGGTGATTTTACAGCATGGAAGTTTCAGAAGCCCTGATCTAGTTCACCTGTCTTCTTCAGTTAGGCTCTTTCACTGGTAATTATCTGAGCTAATATCTAATTCCTTCACAGATGGACCTGTTAGACTCTTTATTCAGTCCATTTCAGGTGCTTACCTTGACCCGGGGTTCAAATCCCTCTTTTGTCATCATCCTCCCCAACCCCCAAATTATAAGCAAAGTAATATTAAAGAGGAGTAAACTTTTAAAATGGTCCTTCACTTTCTAGGGTTTTTTTTTCCTCTTTAACATAATTATGTCTAAATCAGCTAAAGTAACTGAAGTAAAAATGTTGAAAGAAATCAAGTTAAAAATGTTACTTCAGCACCATTTTTCTGTTTTTTCCAGATCTTAGCAAAAGAAAGTCAATATTGTTTGCACCTATGTGTGTCTATGTATATGTATACATACATATAAAGAAATAGAGCAATCATGAATATTTGGCTCATTACTTTGTGCCTTCCTAATTTTGGTGATTATGTTGTATTTTTAAACAATGTATTGCATTTGCAAGCAGTAAGCAAGTTAAAAGAGCTTTAAGAGTTTAGATCTATGTTTCTTTTAGTTCTTAAAAGCTAAACCTTGTGATTCCATTTGCTTTAGCTGGGGTCTCAGCAGAAGCCATGCAGACCATCACCACTGCTCCTGAAACCTCGTCGGGGCCAGAGGCCAAAGTCCAGGAGGAAGAGCATGACCTCGTAGATGACGACATCACAACTGGTAAGGAGACACCCTTCGCATAACCTGGATGAGCCTCGTCCGATATTGCAAAATGCTTTTAGGTCATTTACAGTGGGACTAAATATGTTGGTGGAAAGAATGGAAGGTTGTATTGATAGAACATTTGGTTTTATAGGACTCCTTAGCGTCCTTTTTGATCTTGAAGTGGAAAGAAGCGGAACTGTTTATTTGATCCAGGTTTGCTCATTGTTGCTGTGACAATGAACCTGCCAGCTGTGCGTTTGATTTTCTAGGGACCTTCTAATTCAGATATTTGGATCATTATTAAAGCCTTGGAACATGTAGAGGAATACACCTATTATGTTATGAGAGGTTTTGCAATTATAGGGTAAGCTGAAAATACTGAAGTTGGAATAGCAATATATTTAATATAGGCCGCCTAAGGAAACGTTCAGATACACTTTGTACCTATACTGTAGAAATAAATGCTGCTTTTAAAAGATGTTTACGTTGCTCGGCTAGTGAACATTCTTATCTGTTTTATCACATAACCAGGCATAAAGTAAAATTTAGGAAAGCCATACAGCACATCTGTTCTGCCTATCTTTTTATAGCCTTAAAGCAGTTCCAATTACTGGATCTACAGATGCATTCAGCTCAATTTCTTTCAATGCACAGAGGATAGGAAACACCCTAGTATAGGCATTTTTATCGGTATTAAGAAGGATAAACTTTTGTTTTTGGTGCAGATGGTTAAAATGTAAAATCTGATGATAAATATCTATAATTATCATGAAGCAACAAATAGTAACGTAGTAGTAATCAATAATTTGAAAGCAAGCATGCCCAGAAAATATCACTAAAATTTTCCACAAAAATTAAAGGGAGAAAAAAACAAAAGGGACGGTTTGGTTTGGTTTGGTTTTCCTTTACAGGCCTATGTGTCAGGTTCTTTGCTGTTACCACCTCAGTGCCTTTAAAATTTTTTCATTGGGAAGAAGTTGAGGGAGCCTGATGATCTCTCTGGAAAATATGCAAACACTATATTAAAAAAAACCCATAGCTGTGCAACTACTGCTAATAAGTAGTTGACTAAGTTAGGAACACCTGGTTTCCAGTAAAAATGAGATGATGGTGGTTGCTATTACTTGTTACTTTTAAATTCTTTTTAATGTATCAGTTCATTGATTTTAAAAAATCATCCACCTTAAATATAAACTATTTCAGAAACTTACAAGTTTTCACAATTATGGAATTTGTTTCAGTAGCTACTAAAGACAATTATTTCATTTGCAGATTTTTAAAACTGGCTTTTGTTCTATTTGCATTGCTTTATTTTATGCTGTTCTAGATATTTTGTTGTATTTTAACTTCCTATAAAATTTTAAAGGCCTTCTTAGAGATGTTTTGTTATATATGAATTTCCTGTAAATTTTAAAGGCCTTCTATCTATAAAAGGTGGTGGTGTGATTCATAGGAAAGAAAAGTTCCCTTTGCAACAGTAGACTGACTTAGTTTGCATTGTGGAATCAAAGCTAAATTTTTGAGCATTTGAGTACGCATTATTAAATCAGTGCGTTGAAACTCTGACTTACGCACTGCCAAGGTCATGAGGCAGCGTGATACTACATGCCTGTGTTTTTATTTGATTGTTTAAATAATAAAGAAGCTTAAAAATGAAAATCTAGTTTTGGAGAGTCGATTAATGCTATGCAAACTGTATTTTCATCTGTAAGAAGTTCAGTTAAACATATGTGACGAATGGCTTTTATCAGTTGATTTATTTATTTCATGCCATAGGTACTAGAGGCAGGAATGGTCAATAACCAAAGAATTTAAATAACTAAAAAAGGCTTCTTTACCATGTTGTCAAAGCAGCTAGCACGCTGCAGTCTGTAGATCACTCAGGTTACCTTTAGATTGTGTGACTTGATTAGGACGTGCTATAGATTTTTGTGAAGGTTTAGAAGAAGACCATATTTCTCTTTATTGACTAGAATCCTATACAAATTGCATTATGAAAAATATGGTAGATGCATTGAGAGAAACCTGTTTCAAGCACAATAATCTTATTTTGGGATAACCAAATACAAAAGGGAAAACAGGTCAGGTTAGCCATTCACTTTGAAAAAAATCTGTTGTTTTTTCCAGTTATTTAAAAGGCATTGATCTAATAATATTGCCTATAAAATAAATACAAATTATATCACAACAGAGCTATTTGCCTGTAGTTTGAATGGATTCTTATTTGATGGCTATACTTATGCTAATATGCATAATTGTATTAATTTTATATTTGTAGTAATCTGGAACTTAATTCTTCAGTTAAACAGCTGACAAAGATACCAGTTAAAATATAAAGTATACCCTTAGTGCTTTGGCTCTAGGCAGAATAGCCATTTTTGGAGTTTTTCTTTTGGGTGAGAAATGCGTGAGGTATGAATGTTGTCTTACGACCCTTGAATCTGAGCCTAGCCGTCTTTGTTAGTGTTTGCTCCATAAAAGTAAAGAACCATGTGTGTTGGCTATGATCAATTGGAACTAATTAAATTTATTTGAAATGAAAAGTCTTAACTGGAAGAGAACAGCTGGAAAAACTGGGAAGAAAAAATTGAGTCTTGATTGAGACAATTTAAACCTTCTTGCTGTCATTTAAAAAATACGCTGCAGCTACTTTCTTTATCTCTTTTTTTAAAGCTAATATCTATTGATCGGCTCTACAAAGTAATGCTGTCGCTTGCCTTAGTCAACACACATACTCGGTTTTACTCAGCATTCTACTTTAAAGTTCATCAAATTCTTTCCTTTAACCACATGTTTTAAATTACATATCAAAGATATATTAGCTATTTTTACATATTATTTTTAATGTGGAAAAAATATTAAAACTTATTCCATTTTTTTTCATATATATAATATTGTTCACCATGCATGGGAATGTACTTACTTTTTCAGGGAATTGCTTCAGGTTTTGCATTACTCTATATTTAAAATCTGTTTTAACAACAGTAGTATTTTCTTTAAAGTTAAATGAATGGCCTTAAGATTGTTTCCAGATTATAATTTCGGAGTCACAAGAATATTACTCAAAGCCTATGTAGTTGCTTTTGTTTGTATACTTTTATTTTTAATATTCTAATTTAAATGTTTACATAGACATAATATATAATCAATATTTGTAAATGATGTATTCTTTTCATTACAATATTAATAGGTTATAATTATATTAATAGAGTAAACCTCACTAAAGCTGACACACAGAAAAATTTTAGATATATCACAATCTAATTTTTTAAGGTAGGTCTTTTAGGTGACTTTGTTTGTTATCTGTATGTAGTTCTCATCATGGTAAAGGAGAGCATCCTGAGTGAGGATGAAGGTATCCATCCCCTAAATGTTGCATTTTAAAACAACCTCCCTCTAATTGCAGGTTAAAAAGCCATTTGGAAGGGTTTCCTTCAGAAACCTGCACAGATCCGTTTCAGAAAGTCACTGTATTCTTCTGAGGGTCATGCTGCAGCCTCCTGCCTCGTGTTCAATACGGCAAGGACACGCACTGACCACATAACAGTGATAAAGGGTCAAGAGTCACTGACATTGTCAAGAAAAGACAGCTCGGTAGTAGATCAGTAGCACCATTGACAGATTCAACTGCTTACAACAAAAGCAACAATGATATATGAATCTGGATGGGTCTGTTGCATGTTTTTGTAAAATTTAAATGTAATTTGTTTAAAAAAAAAGTGCTACAGAAAAAAGAAAAAAATAGAGAAGAGTCTGAGAAATTGAAAGTAACATCTATTGACAGCTTACAGTATCCAAGCACTTTACAGTTAACTCTAAAACAACATTTCTTTGAAGTGGATACCAGTCTTTTTCCAGCTATAGATGAGGCAACAAGCTCAGAGAGGTCACTTTTATAAGGTCACTCGTAACAAGCAATAGGTCTGGGACACATTAGAATGAGTCCTGCCTGATTCCAAAGCTACGTGTGGTCTTAAGCACCACCCCACCTTGCCTCACAATTCTCAAACTCATTGAACTTAAGCAGATTTTTGTTTTCTTTTGAAATGTGAGATGATGTCAGTCTACCTTTATTGTTTATAACACCAGGCATAAGCCTGATATTTGCTGTACCTCCTATCTTATTTAAAATGCAAACTTGCTATGCAAATGTAGACCAAGAGATTGTCTTCTTTAGAGAAAAAAATCATTACATATTTGTTCTTAAAATTTTCAGCCATTATTTAGGACTACTGTGATATAAAGCTGTAAATGTAAGTAGTGTTCATTACTAAACAGTTATTCATGCATATATAAATGAAATATTTATTATTCTGTCTAGCCTTTTGAAGTCATCAATATAAAACTGACACCTTAGCATATACTCATACACTATAGTCAACATCTTTAGTATATTAAGATAGAGTTGAAAAGGACATCTAGTCTGAGACTAAATATTGATTTGTGAATTTTACCATTTACTAAAACCTCTATTCATAAAATGTTTATATGTTTGTTTTGGCTGAAAAATAGGAAACTCATCCTGTTAAAGTACAGATAAGTTCCAAAGAACACAATTTATGGCATTATATATTTCAGAAATCAGTACTTTCTAAGCATAGAGCCAGAGGCCTTACAATTAGCAAACTCGAATAAGACTTTTTCATTGTACGTCTTTCCTTTCTCATTCTTTAATTTATGACTAACAGTCAAAAAGCAGTACTAGATCTATGTGAATTTTAAATCATTTGTTGTAAGTTGTGATCACTATCCTTGCTTTTGCCTTCAGAATATGAGCTACTACAAAATACTAAATCCTAAATACCTAAATACTAAGTCCAAAATAAGCTCGTATAATCTTCCTAAAACTCATCTCCTTTTATATTTGTATCTTGTTTAAAGGAATCACTAAGGAAAGGGTACCATTAAGCACCCAACATCCCAAACTAGAAACCAAGGAATAATCCTGGCTTTCCCTCTTTCCAACAACGTCCACATGTAGTTGGTACTGGCTCTTGTAAAATGCACCTCTGAAA